CGGGGAGGGAGAAGGGCTGGGGGGGGAGAGGGACCCCCAAACCCGGAGAGCAGAGGGCAGAGAGAGAGAGGGGAAGAGGCGCACAAAGTGTCCCGCCAGCGAGGAGGAGAAGTCCGCTCCCGGGGCTGGGGTGCAGGGGAGAAGAGAGGGAGGTGGGGAGGGCAGTTTGTTTTTGTGGTCCTTTTGGCTCTAGCACCGCGTGAAAGAGGAAGGTGGGAAGGAGGAGGTTGGAAGGACTTCGGTTCTCTCTGGCGAGCACATTGATCAAAGATTGAGAGGGGGAAATGACAGAGAGAAAATGAGCTGGGGAAAAAAAAAAGTGCTGGCTTGCTGCTGCCGCTCGCTCCTCGCTCGCTCGCTCTCTGGACGAGTTGTTGTTGTCACACGGTGCAGAGGGGAGGAGCTCCGGCAACTTGAAATACCCTTTGAAGCAGCAAAAGCCTCGCTCACTAGTATTAACCCAAATTATCCAACCAGCAACCCGGAGCAAAGAATCAGAGAGAGAGAGAGAGAGAGAGAGCCCTCTTCCTCCTCCTCTTCATAAACCGTTAGATTACATGTTTCATATTTCATCTCATCAGAGACGAGATGCAATTTCCCAAGCCCTTCCAAACAACCGCTTGTCAACACCATTTTTTAAAAATGTATATAGAGAACATTTCAAGCCTTTCTTTGAAAAAAAAAAAGAGAGATTAAACTGCGTCTCTTTCAGGGCATGAAAAGGAAGGGGGGGGGGGCAGAGGAAACTTTGCTCGGTCACCCATCTCCCACCGGGTGGGAGAGGAGCAGATCCACTTGCAAACAAAGCCCGGATCGTGTGTTGGTCTGATTTAGTTAGCTGTGCGCGCATTTCTTTCTTTTTCTTTGAGTTAGTTAGTTAGTTACGTGTGCATGTATTTAGTTTTCTTTGGTTTAGGTAGTGAGTTATTTGTGCATGTATTTATCTTTGGTTGAGTTAGTTATGAGCGCATTTCTGTATTTATCATTATTTACTTACTTATCAGCTATTATTTATGTATTTATTTTGAGCCCCCCCGACAACAAACGATGCCAAATTGGCAGGGCTGGGCGTTTAATAGCGAGAGCCGGCCTCGTTTTATCGCCAGATCTCTTTGTTTGTGCGGACAAGTTGTAATTGCCTGGAGCGCCAAGCACTCCAGGAGAAAAAGCCCAACTCAAGCGGCTCCCGAGGGCTTCCTGGCGAGACCGGGCAGTGGCGAAGCAAAGAGCGCCGGGCACCGTGCGGGGCGTGCGGGGCTAAAGCCGGCCGGTGCCCAGCCGGGACGGGGCAAAGGCACGCTCGCGCCTTTTGCCTCCGGGAACTTTTTTGATCGCGGGTCTTTCTCACTTTGTGTCTTTTGAGTGTATAAAAGCCCATTCCCATTCTCGCATGATTTTTGTTTTCTCATATATAGCTCTGCATGTTTGGCTAAAATGGGGCAGCTGCGTTCATTAGAGCAAGGCTGAAGGAACTTGCCATGTTAGAGAGCTGCAGCTGAGTGCCTACTCCCACCCTGTTGTGTCTAGGTATTGCAGCGGCCGGTGAACAACAGGTGACTCCATAGCACGGATCCAACTTTGATCTTTGATACTCACCAGGTATCACTGTACAATTAGCTCTTGCGCTTGCTCACACATGCGCAGTCGCTAATTTGACAGCCTGTGCAATCCGGCACACATCTAAATATCCAGGCCCCATTTATGTCCTAATACCTAACCACGACGAGGTTTAAGGATGGAGGTTTAGGGAAATTTCCCTTTTTGATTAAAAGTTTGGCAATGTTGGGGGGGGGTCCCCCTCCGTTTATTTTGGTGACCTTTCTGTGTTTACAATAACCTTTGCTAGAAATGCAACGTTAGACTGGGCATATAAGCATCTAAGCTTTATATAGCTGCATATAAAGCTTACATCCGCATATAAAGCTTAGATCTGGAATGTACTCTCCAAATTATAACAACTTGTCCCTCAGCCTCTTTCGGAAAAAGTGTACTATGTATATGAGACATGATTCATGGGGCTGCACATCTAGATGTGTGATAAGAATCTTAATTAAAGTAATTCTGTACATGGGAAATGTTCACTTTTTTCAGATTATCTCAAGCTATTCGCTTGCTCTTGCAACCTGCTTCCTCGCCACGTTAGGTTGTTTTCAGTCAAATGTTTTGAATTTTCACTACCAATGTCTCCCAATAGTGAATCTGTCATTTCCTCCAAAAACTCTATTGCACTAAAATGAGCAAAAGAACTTTTTCTAAAAAAAAAGAAAAAAAGAAAAACTAGTGATTATCATATCAATGCTGGCACCTTGTCTACTAACACTGGCACGGAGCAGTTTTAAATAGCAAAGCTAAGACAAAATCAACAGAAAATAAAAGAGGGTGGCAGAAAAACTTTAAATACCTCGACAATTGCAAATAAAGGTTTAGGGTTTTTTTATCATTTTCACTTGCAAAAGACTGACTGCCCAGATTCATTGTCTTTTATTTCTCTGCCTCAGCTCGTCCTTCTGCATTTCACTCTGTCCTGCACGCGACATATATTCATAAAACATACACTTGAGAAATTTCATGCGGAACCAAACGTGTGGAGTCGCCATTCATTTCAAGTTTCAAGTGAACTCGGGATTTCAAAAATAACCCAAACCTGCCAGATTCTGGGTTCTTTCTCTGCCCTACAACATGATCCACGACTGTCCTTTTGGTTTTCTTCTGTGTGCTTTCCTGGATCCGTAAATCCGTCTGTTGCCAAACAGTTTAAAGAAAATGTAGTTTGAAAGGTTTTACTACCACAGGTTTAGGTTAACGGTGATCGTTTCAGGAAACAATGGGATTAGACACCGAGAAAGAAAGAGATGTCTGAAAGGTTCAAGGATCTTCAAAGCTTTGTGTTTGGTCGGATTGTAACAAACTCTAAGAATTGTAGCAAACTCCTGGATGTATTTTCACAGACACACATACCTCCACTTCAACAAATAAGGACATTGCTCTCTTCCTCTTTTCAAACTTTTTTTTTTCTTCCACGGTGCATTTTATTACTCATTGGCCCTTTCAAGTCATGATATTGTTACACGCTTCCTTTATTTTTCCCAGAATTTATATCAGCAAAACTCAAATTACTGTAACTGATATTTGAAAATTCTCCCTGTGTCAAGTGAAGACTTACGATGCTGAAATCAATAAGCCTGTTTAAAATTCAAAGACCTGCAAATCATTCTGTTTGTCCTTTGATAGGGCCTGGGCTGATTAAAATGCGACCAAGAAAGCTTAATTGCTGCACTAATTAAGAAGTCTTTAATTTCTTTCCTGGAATATTGTTTGAAGCAGAGCTTCTCTTCCACTCACATAACTGTTCAGGGCAGGTATTCTCTTCTTTTCCCTTTGACCATTTCAGGGAATATACTAAGGCAGTAAGATGAATAGGTAGTTATGATTATTTATTACTTTAAAAAAAAACCCACCTGCTACGGAGCTCACTGTTTTATTAAAGACTAGTTTTAAGGGCAATTCTAAGGCATAAAAAAAGGAGTTAGAAAATGCATCGTAGCTGTTACCTCTTAAATACCTGACTGATGGGGTCAGTCCCCCTCCCTCCTGCCTTAGTTGTTATTGGTATATAAATATTTAAATATAGCCGGGCGAACAGCAAATATTTTCTCCCGGACTCTGTGAGGAGCGGATTGGGATGAAAGGGGTGGGGGCTGTAGGACAGGATGGTTTTTATGGCTGGGTGTGTATCGCAACATCCAGTTCATGAACTATCTGCATTTGCTCTGACTTCTATTTCCTTGAGAAATGCACTTCTCTGTTCCAGCTCGTCTTATCCTAGTCTATTGACCTATTTTGTTCACCGATTTCTCAAGTGGGGAAACTTGACTAAATGATTTCACAAAGCTTTCTGGGTGATCAATAGTCATTTTTTAGGTTTAATCATGCTGCATTATAATTCTGGCAAACGACTGCAGAGCAGAAGACTCCGCAAAAGCAAGAGGTTATCGACAAAGGGAAGGCAAGTTCGGTTTTACATCTTGCAGGTCTCGCATAGAGTTTGTTTCAGGAGCTACCTGTTATTTTGCGAGGGGCAGGCACAGAGAGACACGTCCCCTTCCTGGAGGTACATGCAGTGTTACAGAAATGCAACATAATGGGGTCCTCCCCCCCCCCCCC